TCTTTTATTTTTATATAAGACTTTTATATAATCCAGAGATTATTTAGATAAATTTTTATATAATCTAGAGATTATTTAAAATATAAATAAGGAATGAAAAGCTTTAATCGATTACTCATTTAAAATGACGCTTGCTTTTATCGCAAAGTTCTTAATCCCTGGACATTATACATACGGTTACATCGAAGGGGGATCGACTGAGAGGAGACGAGGGGTGAACGAAACGATAAAAGCGTTTTATCTTGCATGTGCGATTACAATTCTTCCGCAGATTCGCGAAAGCGTATAAACGAAAGATATTCTCTCGCCAGACCGGAAACCGATAGCGCGGTAAACAAAGATGTGCCACGGTACTTCTGTCCCGCGATCCTCCGGCCGTTCCCACCCTCTGTGGAAACGCGCAGATTATTCTATTACACGTTACGTAAACACCGAGAGCACAAACGGACGACGCGAGTACCCCCAGAGCGGAATTCCCTCTCTCTCTCTCTCTCTCTCTCTCTCTCTCTCTTTCCCTCTCTTTCTGCAACCTCCGGTGCACGTTGCTGTTTACTCTGAAAATGCGTTATTGTTTCACCACGATAAAAAATTCAACGTTTGGATAATTACATCAGACCTGATCGATCGACAGGCGGGGAGAAGGGGGTTGAGAGGGAGAAGGAGAGAGCGGGAGTAAGAGAGAGAAGATGATGCCCCGAGCGACTTTTCACTGGGTTACTGACTTACTTAGTTGGCTCGTTTCTGTCGAACGCGACGTAAAAAAATATGAGAAAAGGAAGGGCGGATTTCGCGGTTTAACGATCGATCGATCGTTTCCAAGGCGGAGGTGTCTTGATTTTTTTTTTACTCCGTTTTAAAAATGTATACACGAAAGTGGAATAGTCGAGAGTATTCGTGTACTTTTCCTGGAATAATCTACTTTGGAAAATGCGTGGCCCTTTCTTCTCGCAAAGATTTAATGATAAAAAAATGGAGATGAAGCGTTTTAATATTTTCTCAAAATTCAAATTATAAATGTATCTTAATTTTCGTATTTTATTTCATTTCCCTATTTGATCCAAACGAGTTTATTTCTAATAGTGATGGCGATTTAAATAAAAAACGAGTCTCTCGTAATAAAAGAGCTAAAAACGTACATATTTTTGAACAATTAAAATTATATCTTGGGAGGAGAAGAGAATTGTTGAAAAAGTTGAGATGGCAATTATTTAAAATAACATATTTATATGTGCGTCTTGAAAAGCATAAATATTTAAGACGCTTTGGAGATACATAAGCTCTTGGACTCTTGAATCGACGAGTTTTTCAAAACTCATCCGTCGCGATCGAAGGATCCCGCTTGTCCATCCGCTCTCGCAGTTGGCTTCTCCTCGAAATACATTCTACTGCCTGTTTACATCCCGCGCGGATCAGCGAAAACGGAAAAATCCGAAGGGAAAGCGAGGAATCGCTCTACTTTTTGGTGGGGCCATCGGTGCGTGGCAGCTGCGATCCTTTCTCGAATCTCTTTCCTTTTCGCGTATTCCCTCCATTCTTCGGCGGACCGACAGGCCCGGTTTTCCCGGTAATCCCTTCGACGAAGAGAATGATCACGAGGGGTAGAAGAGGAGAGGGAGGGACCGATTCTCGCGCGCGCAGAAGCGGAAGAAACGAGGACGCGAGAGAGGAGGACCCCGCACTGTTTGCCTTTTATTAAACTCTTGTTAAACGCCGCCTTTCTCCGCACACACAATTGAATCGGCAAAACAGCGAAGATAATGCCCCTACCGTGCTCCGTATACGCCCGCAGGAGCCGCCAGGAAGGAGAGAAGGAGAGCAGGGTCGCAGGGGGAGGAAGAGAGAGAGAGAGGAAAGACTCACCGCAAACACCAATTCCTTGTACATCTTGAAATGGACACCGTGTAATCCGCCTCTTTATACAGCGACTGCGGGATCGCCCGGAATCCTTCGGGAAAGGATCGCTCTCGCGTAGCGATCCTCGGCGTGAAAGGCGCCCGAATCGGGCCGGTCGATCGAGTCCCTTCGAAAAGGCCCCGTGAAAATCATACGGCCCACCCTCCGCTCGACGGGCCTTCTCTAATGAAAATATTTGGATGTTTCCAACAAAATCGACATGAATCGAAACATCTACCAGCCTGGCTTTAAAGGGCTGCAAATCGGAGTCTCTTTCTCGATTATATCCTTCGATGAAGTCGCTTTCGACATTCCCTCGTAGAAATGAAAGACGTTTTAATCTATTATCATATCTATTACACGTTAAGGGAAATCTCGATAATTTCTTTAAAATAATTATTTAACATTTTTATTTTAAAAGAAATTTATATGTTTTGCCACTTTTATTCATAGCTATTTTTCCTCAGAAAATTCTATCCGATATTACGAGAGAGAAGACCCGGGAGTGTGCGCGCGAGTGTAACTGGATATTAACACTTCTCGTTTGTGAATCCACGCGATATCGATTAGAGGAAACAATAAATAAAAAAAATAATAAAAATCCATGCACATGTGTTTTCCCGCATCTCCCTCTATCCGCGTCGATTATTATTATCCGTAGCGCTTGTAACGGCCCGTTGCGTCACCGCTTCGCTCTGCTCTCGGGCTAGTATCAGTGACACGTTTGTTGAAAAAAACCCCAAAAAAAAACATTTTTAATCGCTGGCTTGAGATATTTCTCAACGCATCAGAGGTTACGCCGATAAAAATAACGACGATACAAACGCGATATCGCCTAGTCCGACATCCCTATCGTTATTTATTGTCGGAGCGTGATTAAATTCTTGAAAAGAAAAAGAGAGAGAGAGAGAACAGCGATTATTCGATTTGCGTACAAATATTCTCAATGTAATCGAGAATAATTCTATTCAGACAGAATCGGAAATTTAATTTCAAATAGCTTCTCTTACATTAAATCGAATTAGCTCCCTCGAGAAATGGTCGATTCTTCAGGAAAGCTTAATTATTTAATATTCATCCATGTTTCATTAATAAATTTGAAAATGTAGCTGTTTATCGTCATATGCGTGTATGCATGTATGCGTATAAATTAAATCTACGCATCTAGTATCCGCTTTTAGATCGTTGGAATTTTATTTTATAGTGCAGCATAAAAGAAAAAAGGAAAGAAAAACATGCGCACAAGTAATTTATAAACAATGTTTATTCTTGCACTGCGTTTTGTGAGCTCGCTTTTACAGAAACGGGGTAGTAAACCAGTTTTGATCGTTTACTCGTACTATCTCGTGCGTTTGTTTTTATTTCACACACGGCTGCATAATAACGTATAACGAGGTAAAACTAAGTACTTTTACAAAACGTAAAATGGAGCACGCGCTTTTTTTCTCTTCCCTTTTTTATGGCGCAGGAAAAGGGGATGGAGAGATTTTGCTTTAAGGCCATATGATAGGATCTTATACGCTTAATTTACACATATATCTCATTATATACATATTTCTTTTCTTTGTATACTTTCAATAGATATGACATTATACGATATGCTCGATATAGCGTATCCTTGACAGCTACAATTTACATTTGTTTGGTTCTTAGCGATAAAAATGAATTTTATTTCATTCTTTTCTTCTTCATCTCGCTCATTTATTACTTACATTGGCAATTCTTATAATTGACTAATAAATACAAAGGCGAAAGTAGAGATTATTGAATTCGATCTGCGTTCCTAAGTTTCACACAGTTGTGGAAGCTTGAAGCCAATAATTTATACCTAATTGCTAATCACTTTTCTCCACATTTCTAGATAGACTCCTTACACAAGAAATTAACACAAGAATTAATCTGAGAAATTCCTCTGATCGTCATCTTTTCTTCTACTTTATACGTAAGGAATTAATTAATTTCATGTGTGTGAATTATATTTACAACCTGATGATAGAAAAAAATGCGCATATACTAGATATTTTAAACTGATTAAAGAAATTTCAATAGAAGAAAGTTATGAAAAAGGAAAAATAATTGGAAAATTTCAATAATGCGCAACATTATATTCTGAAACCAATTTAAAAGAAATGAGTTTTTCGAAAAAAACTAAATGGCGATAATAAAATAACATTAATTGAAAATAATATTTTTCCATAGATATCAATTCTAATTAATTTTTATAATAAATAATATAAATATATATATTCTCTTATCTTTCTCTGTCTCTTTCTCTTTTATTTTATTTATGCAATTTAACACAGTTTCACTTTAAAATAAATCTTTGTTTTTACTTACATAACCGGTTAGAATAGTTAAATTTGGTTGGATTATTGATTATTTTTGGAGACATTTTTCTTTCTTTTCTTGAGTTACAATTTTTTTCAAAATTCTAAGTTTTTTCAGAGACATCTTATTTTTTTCTTTTCTTTTTTACAATTTTTTTTGAATTATATTTTGTATACATTTATGCTTTGTACAATGATGTTCTCTTTCTCTCTCTTTCTCAGTTCCGTATTATTTTCAGAAAATGTTTCTCTTCAAAATAAGCTCATGATAAGAGACGGATATGCGCGCTGATAGTTTATACCAGTTTATAGTTAGTATCATCAGGTGGTATGAAGAAACGCACAACATTATCTTATAGAAGACATAGATTCTATTATATATACATATATATATATATATATATATATATATATATATATATATATATGCATATAGCTGTTTCTTAAAACGATGATAATATCAGTAAAGACCAGTACTTTCTTTCGCCTCCTTCTTTTTACATATCGCGACTTATTCTATTTAGAAAAAGTGTAAAATCTAATTTGAGTCTACCTTTTTTAAAATTTTGTTTTTTGAGGCATCTCGCTTAAATGATTATTCGTCCACAGTTTTGCGTGGTCGTTAGACTTTCAGCCGAAAAATTCCTGTAAAATGTGCATTCATATATTTTTACGTTTCTTATTATTATATTAACAATTATTCGCCGTATTACGCGACATTAAATAGAAATTGGCACAGTTTCTTGGTAACTCTTGATATGTCACTGACATTAATGAAAAGTATACAGCCTCTAATATTAAAAGCTGAAGCTTCTATTCCTATATACAAAAAAAATCCCAATTGCTTCTGATATTAAAATGTAATAAATAATAGCAAGATTATTATTTATTACAGTTTAATATCAGAAGCGACTTACGCGCGCACCCAAACGTATTTCTAAGAAAAATGTAATGAACGGGATCAAGGGGATTCTTAGTGTTGCACTTGTTCGAAATCTGATGATCGATATTTTCTATATTCATGATTGACCGAAAAAAAAGGAGGAAAAAAAGGAACCAAAAATAAATAAATTATTATATAATCATTTCCAAGAAAAAGAGCTGGGACAATTGTGTCTATTTTCATTTTGTTATTGATAGAAATTATTAACAAGATAAGACACAATTATGACATTTGCACTTTTAATTTACTGTATTATTTGTCGAGTACTTATTCCTTTAGTCAGCGGACACGCGCAAACTTAGACACTAAGAGTTTAACTGCTATATTTTTGTAGATGAACATATGATATTATGTTCTACGTGATCTGATTAATGATTCAATAAGAGAATATACCGAAAAAATAGATATATATATGTATATATATACAAAATCTTGTAGAGCCGAAATTTGAATTGCACGGAAAACAACGATCGCGATATCGCACTTTGTATGAATATTTTTCGGGCTAAAATCGTTTAATCGATATTAGAAAAAAAAAACACGGATCAACATGGATTCATTAAAAAGCTACATGATAAATTGAGTGATTTGGTTCCTTGCACTCTTTAGTCAATGTTTGCGTTGATAATACGATATCGATATCATGCTTTCAATCGAGAAAAGAACCATTTGTTTCGACTTTTCAACCGTATTTCTTTGTATATTCCTACAATACTACTTTATATATTCTACTTTTATACTCTACACTCGACATACAATTTAGATGCAGTTCTCATCGACATGTTTCCCATCTTCTTTTTACCGCTCTTAAATTGCTCATAGCAATTCTTTAGTTTCCTTTTGCTCCTCCTGTATTTCTGTTAATATATTTTACGCTACAAGTATATACGGAGTGATTTGATAATCATAATATGTAAACTATCACGCATATCAGAATTTTATTTGGGCAATGTATGTTTCCCGATATGCGAGTAAATACAAATGAGTCAAGGCGTAAATGACTCTGCGTGCACATTACAACCCTAAGACAAATAATATATATCGCGCCCAATATATACTATAACGAAGGATATTTGAGCGTAACCTACGATTCAAGAGGTGTTCTTGGTGGTGTGTAGGACATTTCCATCGTGATCCCACCGCTGCTGCGCCGAAATCGTGACGGGATACCCGGGATATCGATGCTGTTGCGGGGCTTGCGTCTGCTGAGATGCCTCTCGACCCACTTTAGCATCGTGAGCACCGAATCCGTGCTGGGCAGACGTCTCTCTGCGGACGTGCGGACAATGTGCGACGACGTTACGCGGAAAGTTGCAGCCATACCTTTCAAGGTCTATGCAGAAAGAGAAAAATTCTCATGATAATCACAGAACGATAATGAATGTCGTTTTTAATTGAGAGATATTGAGAGATTTGTTGCTCGGGCAGAAATTAAAAAAAAAATCGCACCTTCATCGCATCTTCATCTGTAACATCATCTCCGGCATATATAATCCTGATACGTTCGCTCCAATCTAGACCAAATGCTGTACGTAGAATATAGATGGAAGCGCTGCCCTTGTTCCATTCGACCGGCGGTTTTGCCTCGATGGCGCAATGTGCGGCACAGGCTTTAAATCCAGCGGCCTCGATAAGTTTTTTAGCTTGTTCCACCATCCTGGGACGACTTTCCATCGGTGTCTCGCGATAGTGAAATGTGAGAAGCGCTCCTTTATTCTCGACCCAAGCACCGTCCCTGCAGAGCTTTAACAAGCAAACAGATAAATATAAAATAAATATATTTATCATCATAACTTCTTAATTATTTCACAAAAATCACGCGTGATTTTGTGCATGAATTTATTAAAAAAACAGATAATGTCATTATAACGATTTTATATAGCCATTACAGAGATTTCAATCAACAAAAAATATTTCAAGTATCACATTTATGTATATCTCATATATAACTTTTCATGTACCTGTTCCTGAAGCATCTGCATTAAACTGGCCACTTTGTCCTCCAATTCAGCCGGCATAGGATGAACGAATTTACTACCATCCGGATGTAAAATTTCCAATCCATGATTTCCGGCATACGTGATGCCGTCTATTCCGACCATCGATTTTACATTGTTCACGTTTCTGCCCGATATAATCGCGATATAAACGTCCGACATATTGGACAGCCTTTGCAAAACGTTTTTCGTTTCGAGTGGCAAGATCGCTAGGTCAGGATGAGTAGCGATGGGCGCTAGTGTACCGTCGTAATCCAGGAGGAGCGCTAACTTATGATTCTCACCGATGTACCTAGGGGACATGTAGTTGTCACTGGACGTTATCCGGCTTTCGTCATGAGTCAGGTAACATTCGCTCGCGCGGGCCCGCCGTCTTTCGAAAAAGCATTTTCTGGATCTCTTTCATATGCCCCAATAATGTAAGGATATTATAGAATCAATATCCCACATAGTGCAAGAGATGCAAGATTGTAATTCTTCGTCATTGCCATCATAGCGACGTATGTATATAAGCATAGCCATATTGTCGCCACGCCGCGACGTACCAAAACTCATGCTTAGCTTAAAAATATTACTTAGAAGCGTAATTGGTTCGTTTAGTACTATCTTAGTTTAGATTAGTACTATCTTAATGCAAATTTAAAAATAATCATATAATGCAGTAATTCTTAACTTTAGATAATAATTACTTTGATTCTTTTTTACTTTTGTAGATACTTGTATCATACCTTATATAGATATATCCCGTTTCATGCGCATGCGCTGGTCGGGCCCAGTCATGCACATCTCTTAACGCATCTAATACCTACTTGCTTAAGTAATCGTCGAAATCATCCATAGTCACGGGCTGCATTGTGGTAGCACCTACAGAATCACGTTCTTCGAGCGATCCCATCACCTGAAGGAAGGACTTCATCCAATAGTTGACATCATATATTCTTTCACGTCGACGTAAGTGATTCATTCTTAATGTACGTTCATCTTCGGGCATAGTAAGAGCTCTATGTAAAATTTTTAATTATTTTACTTAATTTTATTTTAATATTATTTTAATGTATATCTTAAAATGATTGATATTAGATTAGACGAGAAGTAAAATTTCGTAGACAGTTAATATTAACTGCACGGACAATTTTGTCAGATTAATTTTATTACAATGGACAATCATATACGTACCTGTGAATTACTTCCGCAGCTTCGTCAATCTCATAAGGATTGCAAATAAGAGCCTCGTGCATCATTTCGCCCGCACCGGCAAACGGCGATACTATCAGCACTCCTGGCGGTTGATTGATTTGACAGGCGACAAATTCTTTAGCAACTAAATTCATACCATCCCTGAGCGGTGTGACGAGAGCGACGGCGGCATCTCTGTAGAATGCGGCTAATTCATCTTGGCTCACGCAGCCGTAAATATAACGTATGGGCGACCAGTTGGGTGTTGTGAAGCGACCGTTTATACAACCGATCAATTGATCCATCTCGAGCTTCAGATCCTGATACTCGCGAACGTCGGTACGTGAAGGCACTGCGATTTGCAACATTGTTACCTGTGACATGATTGAATATCCTTGTTTAATACTTATTATAATTGTTTGTCTGATGTCTTAGATTAATTAATTTACGAAACAATTTGCATGCGCTACGCAAGTAAATGCATTTAAACAGACCTGTTCACGGTGCTCGGGATGTTTCTCGAGTAGCATCTCAAAGGCTTTCAATCTATGAACAAGACCTTTTGTATAATCTAATCGATCGACGCCGAGTACGATCTTTTGATTCGATTGCATGACTTTGTTGGCAGTCTCTGCCAACGAGACGAATCTGTCGAATGGAATGCCGATTGGCAGCGGCCTTACTCGTACCGTTCTGCCACCATGTTCGACTAGCAAATTCTTATGATCCACTCTGCAGCCAAGACACCTCTGACAGCAGTCCACAAAGTTCAAACAATAATCCTGAATGTGAAAACCCACCATGTCGCATCCTATACAAGTGAATTACGAATAAACGAATTACAAAAATTAGTTATTAGTTATTAAGACGAGTCCTTATCTAAGAAAATCCGAGAAAATATTAACAGAAACACTCACCAAGCATACCCTGCAGGATCTCGTCCGCCCATGGGAAGAGTCTAAAGATGTCCCATGGTGGGAAGGGTATGTGAAGAAAGAAACCTAATTTAAGTCTGAGATCCTTCTCATCAGCCGCTTGTCTAATCCAATTGGCGGCTAACATCAGATGGTAGTCATGAACCCATACCAACGGCGTGCCGTTGGATTGATTCTCTTGCTCCTTGTGAATTTGTTCCAAGGCATCGACCTGCAACGACAGATTCATTAAAAATTATTCACTTTTTTAGCTCTTAGTGTCTAATATATTCAACATTATATTATTTGCTTAATCCACATTTATATTTTGTTTCATATAATATAATATATATTTAATCCATATTTATATGATTTTGTTTCATATAATAAGGAGAAACCGATATTGCTCCAATTGATTCGATTAAGATAAAAATATGTTTCTCGAATCGCAAAACCACAAGCATCATCACAAGCATACAATCGTACCGTTTTAGCAGCAAATTCTTCGTTAACTGTAGAATACGCGCGCCAATGCTCCGCGATGAAGGTTGTCCGATCCGGCATAGAGTGAAAGAGCGGCCAGAAGGTTCCGTTGCAACATCCATTGTAATATGAATCGAAGATGCCAGCGTCAACGTGTACCGCAACAACCTGAAAATAAAGAGAGAACAATATTAATATTAATATTATAAAAAGAAAGAGCAATTTGAGAAGGCGATGAAATTACAATTCTTCCTCATTTTTTGCATTTTTGCGGTGCTTCTCGTTGTTATTACAATCATTAATTCAAATTGCAGCCACATAACATCGGTAGAATTTTCTGACACATTATATTTCATATTTAATAAAAGCAGTAATGTTTTTTAAATTTATAAGAGATTAATAATTATTAAAATTAATGCTGCAATGATTAAAGCATCATATCTCTCGTCATGTATAATATTTTGAATTAAATTATTACCAGTCATATATTCTAACTAATGACTGTAAAGCGAGCGGTTCAAGACTGGTCTTATTGTTTCGACAATTTTCTATGTAAAAACTAAAGACAGAGAGAAAGGTTTACACTGGATGACGAGATGTACAGCTTAAATCTACAAAATCACACTCGAATATTCGGGATGGATATTTCGAATGTCTGGAAAGGTACCACGAAAGGAAAAACCTTGGGTAAGATAGCGATAATAAAAAGTAGGAAAGGGAAGTGAAATAGATAAGACTGACGGATCGGAAGTGCGTAAGTCTGGAGTCTTTATTTGCACCCGATAGCGACCCCGCCTCCCTTTGTTAACACATCGCTTCTCGTTATCCCGTTATTTTGTTCGCGATACCGCCTCCTTTATTTCCGATCGAGTGTGAAAACAGGCCGCGCTACAAGAAAGCTCATTCTCTGTTTGACGCAAGCGGACAATCGACGAGCGATAAGATTTAATGCTTTTACAAACGATAGACACAACCAACATCGAACTGCCATTTGTTTTCTTTTCATGGATATCGCCGGTCCACATTAACTAAGAGAGGTCAGGGAAAGCTTCTCTTTTCCTCATCGTGTATATATGTATTCACAGCTGAATCTATCTCGTGCATTGTTATCGTTTCCTTCGAGAATCTTCGTCGTCGCGAAGTTGCTTAATCGCGTGATACGATAAAACGTATCAATTCCGCTGACGATTTCTTTCATCGAGCAGAATCGGGAGGAACCAAGCGATGACCTCGATGAATTTCAACTTCAAATGGATATCGCGACAAAGTCTCGGAATTGTTAATTAAAAGCAGTATTTTCGAATAATAAAATATATTATAAATTAAATTATAAATTAATATATTATAAATTAAATTAATTAAAAATTTAATTAAGAAATCGTTTTTTCCTGTTGATAGCTCTTCGCAGAAGTTGTCTCAAATCGCATTCGCATCGCAGAACGATCGATTGTCGATTGTTATTATCCGATAGTAATGCTAGAGAGATCAGAAACAAGAGACATATATGTACTAGGAAGAAGAAATAAAATGAAACAAAATGTAAACTTTTGATTCTTGGAAATAAATAATTCTTGGACGAAGGATTTTGCATACAATTAATTTAAGAAATTAATTTAAAGGACAATTTTAAATTTGTTTTTCATCTCATATATGTTATTTATATATTTAGAAGGGAAAAAAGAGGAGAATAAACCGCACAATCAGAGGTCGAATTTTTATGTGACATAAGAAAAAAATATGTTTTGCATCATTATTTCGTCCAATGGGCTATTTAGAAATCTAACGTAAACATTTTAATTACTCGTTATCGCGTGCACATTCCACGTGACATGATAGTCAGCTTTTCCCCCTTTTAATGTTGTTTTCCCCTTTGTTTTCTTCATGTTATGCGAATATATTATTGAACATTCCAGCCGCGATAGACAAAATAGAGCTGTTAAGAGGGGAACGAAAGACGTATACTGATGGAAGAAAAGTAAAAAATAAAAAGCAAAAATATCTAGAGATTTTTACAATTCAATTAAATAAGATTTATTAATTTTTCAGCGATATTTTGAGAATATATCGATTTGCAAAAAATGCAAAAATGCATTTTTGTATTTTTATAGTATATTTTTATCCGTATATTTTTTTTATTAAATGCTTTTTTATTCCAAGAAGTTCGTTGAATAATCCTTGAGCACTGGACGTAAATTACATGTCGCAGAACAATTTGTTGCATAAAATTTCTTTACTTGACGATAATTATCGCACCCTACGATGCAGCCTACGATTCCAATCATCGCGATTCCAATAGTCGTCGTCATTAATTAAACAATATTGTAGGCTATCAGACATTGTTATCGGCGATATTAAAAAGTTCTCGTCTGCGCAAGATTCACGTGATCCCCATTGCGATGTCCGCGTGGGCGTAATACGTTAATCCGTGCTTAATCGTTGTCGATAGCTTTAATCACGTCGCCGATAGCGCCAAAGACTTAGCAAAAGTCATCATCTGGGGATGATAGAGACGTAACGGGGGTTCCAATGCGTCACGCAACGATAACCCTACGCGATTCACGACCCCGCGACACGAATATCCGTGACATCAGATCACAGCCATCAACATTTTGGATTCATTCATTTCGACCAACCTTTGGATCCATTGGAAGAATAATCTGTTACAAAACATTTTTTCCCCGAAAGTAGGAAACAATAAGCTGTAGATAACAAATATATTTTACACATTAAAATTCCTGGCTTCCCTTGCAAATCTCATCGTTCCAAAATTAAGTTAAAATTTTTATACGTTTTTCTTTCAATTTAAAAAATGACAAATGATTTTATTCTGCAAGTGTGCAACTAATCTTTAAGTTTCTGTCGTTTCTATATTCGCGTTGATATTTTTCCTAATAAAAGTTTTCATGATGTTATATTATTTTACTCTTGGGGATGAAATAATTTATGATAATCAATAAAGTAGATAATATATTAACAGCTTTACAAAATACATTTTTTTCCCGAAAGCAGGAAACAATCAATCATAAATAACAAATATATTTTACAAATTAAAATTCCTGGCTTCCCTTGCGAATCCCATCGTTCCAAAATTAAATCAAAATTTTTATACATTTCTCTTTCAATTTTAAAAATGACGAATGATTTTATTCTGCAAATGTGCAACTAATCTTTAAGTTTCTGTCGTTTCTTTATTCGCGCTTATATTTTTCCTAGTAAAAGTTTTCATAATGTTATATTATTTTAATCTGTCTTGAGATAAAATAATTTATGATAATCAATAAAGTAGATAATGTATTATTATGTTAGAAGCTGTATATTACTCTGCATGTGGAAAGAGAATAAAATAATCATTTATCAGTAAGCATAATAGTCATATTGCTTTTGCCGGAAAATATGTGATATCGTCGTGAAAACAATCTATAAATAAGCTGTTTTTAACTGTCACCGAACTTTTTAACGACGAGAGGGTAGGCAAAGGCCATCTCCGAATTGATTTGTTGCACTAATTATTTTCCTCAATCATGCCAGCAATTCTCGTGTTTATGCTGCTCCGACAATTTATTGTTTTTATAAACAATTGCTGAGCGATTAATTTTTGATGATCGATTAAACAGATATATAAATATATTCTTTGAGTATCGATCGAGAATAACATTGATAGTTAGCATTGCAAATAAAAGATAAAAAAAAAGAGATTAAATCGACACATTACTTGACGGAAAAGAATCACACTAGAATTTTCAACATGTTTGACGACGGAATATTACAGGTCGGTCGAGGAGGGGAATGGTTTTCTTCGCTACGTGATATATTGTGAATGCCAAGGTGAGTGAAACGTAATGTAAGTGGCGATAATGATAAGACTTCACCTTCAGATATGGCTAATTTGAGTTAAAAAAATTTTCTCGCTTCTCTCGTTTGAATGAAATTCAATGAAACAAAATGCATTTGATTCAAAAATATTTGGATATGTAAAAAAATATGACCACATGTATTTTTATAGAATCAGTTTAAATGCTTTTAGAGAAGAAGTTAGATTTTAATGTTTTAAATTCTTCAGAAATTTCGACATGGAGACATAAGCCTAATAATATAATTTTAAGATTTCAATTTTTTTTTTCTCTTAAAACGCACATCCACTTATGTCAAGTGCAGAGAAAGAAGTTTGTATCAAAATTAAAAATATACCAGTGGTTTTTTCTACATACAAACGAAAAATCGATCGCTATTAACACTGAGAGTTGACTCACCTTTCGAGATAATAAACCGGCGGTAGGTGTGCGATCGTTGGGATCGGATTCGGGGATCGGTTCGTTCGGATTTTCCATGTGCATTCCCGGCCATCCAACCCAGATTCCATTTCCACTTATGACAACCGGCGCTACCGCAGTTACTAGACCACCAGCGCTATGAAAAAGAAGAGTTTATGAGAAAAAAAAAATATATATATATGCTATACATAAAAAATCAAAGATAAAAATGTGAAAAAATATCCAAAAGTGGAGAGGCAGACAAAAATACTTTTAAAATACTTTTTTATCAAAATAGATTATAAAAAAGCTTTACGCTATAGAATTTAAAATCAAATGTTATCGGTTCCTGTCTTGTGTTAAAAAATTGCGTCATCTCAATGTGTGTGAGAGTGCGATATTATTTACTATTTAGATGAATCTCTCTATTTGATTTTGCATAAATTAGCTGCGTCATAATTGCGTCTTGGCAAGAGCTATAAAAATATAATATACCGCTAGTTTGTTAACAATAAATATTCATTCTCTTTAAAATGACGTAAAGTTTCAGTTATACCTAATTATATTTTACATCGATTTTCCTCGATGTTTCATAATGATAAAAATGGAAAATAGCCTGATTAAAATATATTATTAAACTGAGAGATTCGCGTGAATTTTTGCAAGAACGTTGTAATTACCGTTGTAATTAGTTAATTATACATTTAATAATCCAACACACGCTGTCAGAAGTGACATTGAGTATAATGATATTAACTCGTTTATGTAATATACAATCGCGTCATTACTTATGTCCGTCTCGTACTGATCACTAAGAGATTTCTTAAAATGTGCATCCAGCGCGTAAATTCATGACGACGTCTTGAAATTACTCCAGAATTACTTCCTTCAAGAAATTACTTCAATTTATCGCGATTATTTTTCTCGAGAGAAAGTCAAATCAAATTAATAAAAAAATTCAAAGATGAAAGAAGACTGAGTGTCTGAGAAATCCTATAGAGAGATCGTACACTATACTTATTTACAATTATTTGTATGTATATTATTTGTATTTCCATCGCTGGAAAATATCGCGTCAACATTTTCCTACATCAAAGATAGCAATCTGATGTTTGACTTCAAGTCGTGACTCCAAGTTCTCTGGTATAAATGAATACGATGTTTACAAACCTCGCGACGATGCTGTTTCTTATCGCGATCGATATTTTTCCATTTGTTGAGTGAGTATAATTATTGTTTCTACATTTCATCTACGCGATTATACAGGGAGAAATTTATTACGTCGATTTATACATGTGCATCTTGTACATGATCTACTTAAAAAATATTAAACTTAAATAATTATTTGAAAAATAACTATTATGGTCATTTTGAGATTTATCAAATCGAACGTAAAATTTCAATATGATTGTCTGCATTTATTATTTTCATTTTTTTTGTGGCGCGTAATTTTTTTTATATCCCTGAATATTTTATATCAATCTCGTTAATCGTTTTATAGCATATCACATCGAGCGATATGCTAGAGAAAAAAAAAGAAGATTATATAATAGATAAGAACGAGTCTCTATATTCAATGTACGCGCGTGTACGATAATATAATCCGCGCAATCAAATATATTGATATGTCTTTTATCAAATTTAACCGGTTCTCGCACATTATCGGCTCGGAATAATCGGTAATTGGTCATTCGTATCAATAAATATTTTTTTCATGATTCGGCGTGAATTTCTCGTGCGCGAAGACGATAACGTAAGTGTCCAGGAGCACGACACGTGACACGGTAGACACGAGGTAGACACGTGCGATTATGCGACTGGTATGCAATTCACTGGTCGCTTCGAAAAAAATTCACGATAATTATACTTATCAAACTACTTTGTATTTAATTGGTTATCATTCCGTGCCAAGAATATTTTATTTCGTCGTTTTGTGGAATTCGAAGGTTAAATATTTAAATATTTAAGAAATGCATCAGAAATAATGTCGGAAGAAATATTATATCGTTATCATTCGTGAAATAATAGAACAAACGTCAAATTGTCACTTTTTTACAAAATTGAAAAATTTTAAATTGAAAAAAATTTATATGAAAGAATGCTGCAAATAATACAAAGTGCCACTTATCAAATAATTTGCTAATTAATCTCCTTGAAATAAAATTATATTTTTTTAAATATTTATAAAAAATTGAAAATATTTCTTCTCATGATACGGAGATATATTTAATTGAATATCGTAAAAAAAATAATTAGAGACCAAACAGCGATTGATTAATCGTGTTTATCAAAGTTTTGTACTATTATATTTCTTTCATTTTGATGTCAACGTGAGTAAAGAACAAATAAGATATTACATTACTCTTCCAACTAATCGACTCGTATCAAGAATACATAAATTTCGCGTGATATTTTGTAAGACCATTAACATTTGTATTTTACGCAAACGCGATTAGATTACGTTCGTAAAAAGAAATTATTTTGAATATGATTAAGAGAAAGAAAGAGAAAGATATGTACTTTTACGAATAGTGCTCGTCAATTTTTTTTTCTCTTGTTCTCTTATCAATTCAATTAATTATCTCAATCGTTACCGCACTAATCATCTATGAGCATTTTTTTGCGACACTCGTTGTATTTCTCAATCGTTGGTTTTGACGAATGCAAATTAATGATCGATAGTGACTCTTACGTTGACAAATGCAAACAGTGCTAGAGCTAATATTCGAGATCATATTATCAAATATTTGCGAATATAAAGATAATCACAAACCTAATTCATTCTCCAGATATGAGTTTTAAACGAACTTCGTTGCTCATTACATTATCACTTCCGTTACATCATTGATCTGTTATTGTTAACTGTGTCCTCGTATATGTGCCACGTGTTTATTTTTTGATGACGCATTTTTTTCGAAATAACTGGTCTTTTTAATACACGTATCGTATCCTTTTTTTATTCGACATGTGCATTTATTTGGATCTGCATAACTTCTTATTATCTTTTATTTCACGACTCTAATCATCCTCAAAGACATTTAAATATAATCGAGATTTTTCAATTACTGACATGAGTTCTACTACACAGAAAAAAAATGTATACTGTATTCAAGTAAATATTATTTATTTTAAGTATATCATAAGTTTGTATATCCGCAAATATATTATAAGTTCACCACAAGCATTAAATTTAATTGAATATATTCTGAATTTTAGTAAGTGCAGTATTTTAGTCAAGAATATTAAATTAAAACAAAAATTTGCTTACTACAAGTTTGATTTTTCTTTGATACAATTTTACAATATTCTTGAAGAGAAAATAATTTCTTTTTTTGAGTACATGATAATGAGATTTTCTAACACTTGTGATGAGTATATTTTAAGATCATTATCAAGAATATATTCTTTACTGAAGAAAACTATTACTTAAAAAAAAATAAATTGAGTAATCGTTTTTCTTGGTAGTAGAATGATATTTTTCTCTGTCTATGACCGCTGTATATACAAAATACAAGCAAGCAAAGTCGTCTCTATGACAAATATCCTGTTAACAGAGTATGATTTCTCGAAAAATGTGATTGTAGATATAACGACTGTGATGTAACTTTATATAATAATCGTGCTCAATCTATCATGTTTGTTATCTCGAAATATGTAAAAATATAAAATGAAAAGCGAAATGCAAAACAATATGAATATCAACACGGTATCAATTTTAAATATTGCAAATGGCATATTACGATTGTGTCATTCGATTGTAAATACACGAATAACAAAAAACTCGTGCGAGAGAGCACACAGTTTACTTGAATATTACAAAAGGGCAATGCAATATATGATAAAAAACACATCTTTAGATAGTATCAAAGTGTAAAATTAATACAAGAATGGTGTAAAAATTCCTTGTTGTAAATATACATATAATTAGTGTACGTGTCGATTACATATATTTAGTTATATTTAGAATGTAAATGAGAAGATATAATCAGATGTAATCAGTGCAAAGAATATCAATAGTCACACTTAAAGCGCTACAAAAATATTGACAAACGTCATCGATTACAAGTGACAAGAAAATAAGATTTCTTTTTTAATGTATCATCCACATATACATAATCTAGTATGTTTATACATCGTCTAGTACGATAAATAATATCTATTCTTGATATAAGATAATAGATATATATTTCTTTATCATTAAAGCGAGTCACACTAACCTGGCCTTACGTTCCAGCTGACCGGTTAATTCGTTCCTCTTTAGCACAAACGGCAACCTGTTGCTCACGACGATCATGCTCCCGTTGGAGGTGAAGCTACCCGGTTCTATAGACATGATCGATGCGGTGAGTTTACGGAAAGCGTGGGGAAGGAAAGAGAAGAAAGGTGACAGTGTCAATCAGTAGCGTTCTTGTTCACGGAACGCCGTGTGTCACGTGCAATCACGCGCATACAGACTCGCAGCGAAAGATGTCTCTTTTATTTTCTCGTTCTCTCGCAGCTTCTCTATCTCTCTCTCTCTCTCTTTCTCTCGCTCTCTGTATCTCTTCCTCTGATAGAAATCGCTCGCGATCGCCTCGTGCTACGCTTTTCGCTCGACTTCTTCGGCGTTACTGCCGCTCTTGGCCGGGGCCCATGTTCCCTGATCGAGGGTTCGATAGAGAAAAAATGTGGCGAGCGGAGCGAGCGGGTGGCGAGTGGCTTGCGTCGCGTTGCGTGGCCGAGACGACACTGAGGGAACGCGTTAACGCCGCGCTTTATTCTTCTTAGCCGGCGCAACCATTTGGTCCAAAGTGCATTCCCTATAACCGTATCAATCGCGGGGGCCGCGACCTTTCGGCCACCCGCGCCGACCGCCCTCTCGACCGTCGTCGTCGTCCTCGTCGTCGTCGTCCCTTCTCCGATCGCGTCATCGCTTCTCCGATAGAATAACGAGATTGTCGTGACGTTGCCGTCATCCCCATTCGGATGCAACGCGATGTAAACACACTCCCTTCCCGCCCCGCGCGATATCTCGCGATATCGCTCGCTCTCTCTCCCGCGATTACGTCTCCCGCCGAGGCCGGATTTCGACGATCGACCTCGATGACGAGCTGCCGAATGATTGTCGGACAGGTGACACCGCTCGAGACGCGTGATCGATCACCGACCGCGGATACCGATTGACTACCAACGACGCGCGTTCTCTACCTCGAGTGGCCGATCAGCTGACCTTCTTTCGCGCGCGACATCTGCGCCATGCCACGATTTTGACAGATCGTCAAAACGGATTTACAGAGATCGCCCTGTATCGATGCCACGATCGATTTCACTCATAATCGAGGATGCTTTATTTATTTTTGGGACATGGAAATTAAATTATTATAGATGATTACGCACGATTCTTTCATCTGCCGATTAAATATTTTTGTCCCGTTAATTACTCGACTTATCATCAACTCTGCTGGGGTTTCTTCAAAATAAGATCTCAGATATTTCAGATAAAGGATTAATATAATATATCTTATCGAAGAACCTGGTCTTGAAAAGATAAGTATTAAAAATATCGCGATTCATATCACTTTACTCGAAATCGAAAATAACGTCATTTTAAAGTTAAGAATTAAATCTCACTTTTGTATATAAAAGTGTATAAATGTAATAGCTTTATACGAGAGAAGACCGATCGCTATTTTCGCGACAAAAGCCTAGGAGAAAAGTCTAGGCGATGAGTCATTTGCTCAACGCGTCTGGTTAAAAAGTAATAACGACTGCAAGTACGTTCGAAAAATTCTTATCATCACGCTGCGAACGCGTGTTTCATCGCCGTCATCGACTCGAGACACGCTCACGGCAAGCCAAAGAAAATTGGCACGCGTCGCGCACGCGGTAGATGCGTTTTAGTCTACGCGGAAGTAGATGTTTACCGCTCAGCTGGATTATATGACGTGTGGGCAAAGAGAGAGAGAGGGAGGGAGATAGATACGGAAAAAGAGAAAATATAAAAACATGTTCTTTCGCCCTCAAAATATTGCAACGAGTGAAAAATGACGTCGTGCGTCACGCGAATTTTTACACGATATGCATCGAGCAGCCAATGGATGAATTATATCGAAATGCGAACGATGATTTTAAATAGACATTAGCGTGTATAAGGAAACAATAACTTTCGAAATATGCATTTCGATTTAACCGCCAGTTTTTTTTAAAATATGAGTGTCTTAATAAATATAAATATAAAGTCTGGCGTACGTATTTTAAGCACGTGTAATTTTCTTTTTTACTGTTTGATGCATATTAAAACTATTCGCGTAACTCGAATATTATTCCGTGTGCTCTTTCGATTGAATATAAGATTGCACGTCGATATTTGTTGTGATAGTTAATAGCAGTCTGTCTTTTTTTTAGTTTTGTGAACTTTCGTTTATTTCCATGCATCATGTTTATCAATGAAAAGATATCTTTTGTGAATTTAATGGTCTTTTTCAATGGTTCTTATCAATGAAAATCGCAAAAATTAATGTTGTAAATATAACTAGATTAGATCTTATCGTCCTCGGAAAGATTTTAATCACGTTTGTCTTCTTATCTTTGTAAAGGATCTAAAATATGATCTAAGATCATAAATTGATAATACAATGCATTCAATTGAAACCAATCAAAGGATTTTAATGGGATTAGTGTTGAATATCAGTTTTATTTAGATTCCCAGCTTCCGTTATCTAATATTTATGCTTTATATATATATATATATATATATATATATATATAATTTTTATCTATATATATATTTTTCAAGATTTTACGTTTCTTCTAAATAGAATTTATTATTTGCTATGCATTCGATTGCTATGCGATCGCTATGCTCATCTCTGTCTTATTGTTAGTTCGATATCGTTTTGAGTGTAATTAGTCTATATGTTTGTATTAATCTCTATGTATTGGTCTATAAAGAAATCTATCTTATATAGATAAGCATTGGACATTGGAATGCACAATAGAAACAACATGACCCTTCAACCGTGCGGTAAAAGACTATAAATGCTAAGAAATGTGATAAGTACTCGAGAATATCTTGAAACATTAAAAGATTATAACTGCCACAATACTGACGATTTCTAGTTTCTACCAAAAATAGAGAAAAAATATTTCAAGTACATACACATGAGAGAATATTGTTGCAAAACTCGAATCAAGTTGAACTATAATATTTACTTAGAAATCTTAGAATTTTCTCAGACAATTTTTGTTATTCATATCATTACATACTTGTTATTCATTGTTGCTTAATCACCGATCGCAATTGCAAGTTGTTACGTATGTTCTTGAATATAAATAATTTGATTCGTCTAAAAAAAATTCATAAACAAAGACATATATATATATATATATATATATATATATATATATATATAAAAGCAAAAGAAAACGTGCCAAGATAACGAAACAAGAACTAGTATGATGATGTGTAACTTCAGAGACACCCGAAGCATTTTTATTTGAGTCTCTCTATATTAATCCTTAACCGGGGGAGGGGAAAACTTGCTAATAAGTTTGTAGTTTTTTATGCACTATGCCTTACAATAATGGAGTCTTTGTTGCAATTATTTTCGAGCATTGCAAAGAAAAAAAATTTATATCGAGAAAAAAAAACGGATTAACAATATATTCCGAGAAATTAAGGATTCAATCTCTATCTATAATATATTTAAGTTAATTATGTACGAATATAACAAAAAAAAGATGATTTTATATATATACTCCTGAACAAAATTAACACATAATTTTTTTTCACTTTTTTTTTAAAGCTGATATTTAAATTTTAACAAAAAATTTTAAAGGAAAAGTGAACAAAAATTATATAGTTAATTTTGTCCAGGAATATATACATGACTTTATGTATGACTTTATATAATAATACTTTATATAAATTTACTTTATATAAATATAATAATATTATGAAATAAATATACATATATCGAAAAGGATAGATATAGAGATACAAATATCAAAATATAGATATATAAGAAAATATTTCTTCGTGTCACTTATGACAAAATTTTTGACAGCAGACCCAACACGTGCTTTGCGCGCTTATGTGTTGCAGGCGCCCTCTATTGTAGCACTTTAAAATTGGCGAGATGAATTGGTTTGATGCGTCATTAGATCGCGAAAGATGAGCGCATTCTATTTGGATATCGGTTATGTATAAATTAAGATCTTTCGTAATCGAGATCGGAAATAGCTGCCAAAATAAGAGTACGAGTACATTCGACGAACTTCGGCTCGAGGACGAGCGCGAAAAATTAATAGCTATATATATTTATATATTTATATTTATATTGACGTTCGCGATTCAATCGATTGCTCATCGAATTTCATTCGATCAAAATTAAATTTTCTATATAATAATACGAGCTGTCTAGATTTTTCCTTCATCTTCCCGAAACATATTTATTCAATATTTATTTATTTCAAACTTGCATATAAAACATTTAAGGCGGCCAATAAAAGCGCGGCAAAGATCAAATTTATGAATGAAACGAAAAAGGTCAAGATTGCGTCATTCGAAAAAGCACAGACAAAATTAATCGATAATATATATAAGTACACAGGAATATATCTGACTTTAGGGATCATTCGTGCATGCATTTATACAGATATTAAAACGACGATCGATATATTGACGAGAAATCGCGTCAATTCGAAAGTCGCTCTCGACAACAATCGATTCGCGCCATTTTTGCTCATATTTTCATAAGCAAATTATACGTTAGAGTCAATGTCATTTAAATTTGACTGATTCTAAACTATAGGTACGCGATTTAAAATCGCACCCTGTATACAATCGCGACGAGTTTATCAACTTCTCGTGCAACAGACAGAGAGAGAAATTATCATCGCGATTCCAACCCGTTTATAACAAATTTATAACATTCCATTTATAACAAATAAACGAAGGTATTATCCTGCGACGTGTCTATTGCATCGAAATGCAAACTCGCCGATATCGTTGGGTTCAAATTCCTGGTTATACAAGAGCGGTTTAAAAATAGAGAGGACTTGCCGGCTTTCATTCAAACATTGTAGCGCGCGACTGCATCCCCCTTTAATTTCACCCCTTTTTCACGAGCAAAAAGGGCGCGAAAAAAACGCGATCACGCACGTATGCGTGTGATCGCGTTTTTTTATTAACCTACTGACTAATCGAGCGATTGTCATACAAGGGAACAAGTCGACAAGTGACAGGTCGACCTGGGACACCCACCTCAACGCTCGACTGTCGTCCTTTAATTCCTCTCGTATGACAGCGCGTAAAACGTACGCGTCTTGTCGTTATTCAGCGCGTTTCCGAATGGACGAGATGCGGGTCTCGAGTTTTCAATCCTCCTCAATACGAGCACTGTGCATGTCCCACCGTGTATACCGGCGAGTGATGACGACGGCGATGACGACGACGGCGACAGCGGCGGCGTTAATCAGTATCCTCACGAGAAGCACGTACTCTCAAGAAGGTAACGCGACTTATAACTGGTGCCCTCCTTCGAGAAATTTCCAAGCGAGCGAAGCCAGCCGAGCCGACTGCTGACCCGGCGCGGCCTGTCAACTGTCAAGATGATCGACGAAAATCCCTGGGCGCTCGCGGGGAGCAAAAATGTCACCAGAACACACCAGAATCCCCGCCTCGTTCCGCGATTGGCGGAAAGTTTGGCGGCAACGTCGGGCGCCTCGTTCGACCAATCGCAAGCGGGGCCGGGATTTCTTCACTCGGATTGGTCGATCGAGTCGAGTGACAGCCTTCGTATATGAAGCTCGGCGGCTTATGTCCACCATGCGCCTGCGTTGTATATTTATCCGGGTTGACGAGAATACTCTCGATCTCGATGGCCGTAAGCCTCGTCTTTCCGCGTAGAAAGAAAAAATCACGTATGGGGATCGCGAATATAAATAAACTGGCCGCGCAAATTTGCGGTTTTCCGCAGAGTTTCGTCGGATACAACGCGCGTCCCGTTGCGATCGCACGTCACGAGCTCGTCCGAGCGGTAAATCGCAGCAGAGACTCCCGCGCGTGGATCCAGTAAGAAATGGCCGCCGTTTTGAGGAGAAAATTTCGAGCGGTGCCTCGCACGCTCGCCGGCAACGGGAATCTACCGCTGCTCGCGGTCGCAAGGTAAGCGCAAGCGTTCATCGTCCGCGCTTGTCAACGCGAACGATTGACGGGAAACGCTGGAGCTCGGCATCGGCTCGTCAGATTACGTGTGTATTCGTCGTAGATCTCTAACAAGGTCATCGGAACGGGGAGACATTAGCGAGGGATGGATAAGCAAGCTCCTGGTGAGGAAGATCGAGCCCACGAAGGAGTCGCACTCGCGAATGCTCTCCGACAAGGAGGTCATTTACGCGCTGCACACCCACAACATTCGTCCCGATTCGATTGACAAATATTTGGCAAATTAGTGAGTCGACATTTTTGTGACCTTGTCCGAGTTGTACGTAATAGTTCGTTGACCTACATGTAACCCGATGAAGCGGAATTAATCCTCGGAATTATCTTGAGCCATCGTGATATCCTCCCCTTATCGCTATCGCTGTAATTTATTGGCAATTATGATCTTTGAAATCTATTTAGATATCTTTGTGTATTTGTATATTGCAAAGCTCTTTGTTGTATCTCGAGACTTAATTTTTATTACACACAGTGCTAATGTATTCTATGTATAATTGATATCAGAATGGCTAAAATACTTTTTGTTTTGTGACTTCTATTCTTGGATTTAGTACAAGCACTAAAGGTATCTCTCTTTATATCAATTGCTATTGATTATTATTATTTTTGTTAATCTTTAAGCAAACCTGATCCAAACTTAACAAGTGTTATTTCATTTTTTTTCTATATCATTGTACAGCGAGGAAAATGTCAATCTTATACATTCAAAAAAATCTGAACTGAACTGTGAATTAGTTGGTTCGTGGACAGTGGAAGTGGGAGATTTGGATCAGGCCTTACACTTGTGGCAATACACGGGTGGATACGAACGCATAGACCATGCACAGGCCGTGCTTTCTCAAGATGAGGTACATAATATTACGTCAGCTTAATATATAAAATTGCCAGATCTATACAATAATGATTATTCATAAATTTTCTCTAGTCTTATCAACGACTGCTTAGGGAACGAGGAAATTACTTGAGATCTCGCCATTTGCAATATCTATTGGCATTCAGTTTTTGGCCACCGTTGGTAAAACGAAAAGGCTCCAACAAATATGAAATACGCAGTTATAGCTTAAAACCAGGTACAATGATAGAATGGGGAAACAATTGGGCAAAAGCTATTAATTATAGACGCAACAATGATGAGCCATTCGCTGGTTATTTTTCACAAATTGGTAGACTGTACAATGTTCACCATATTTGGTGTAAGTAAAGTTCTGTTTGTATTCGTTATTTTTACACACCTTGCTTGTTCGTCCTCATACATATCGAATAATATCTATTCTCGTTTTTTTAGGTTACAAGGATCTTCAATCGCGTAAAGAAACGCGCGAGAGCGCGTGGAGATCACCCGGTTGGGACGAATGTGTCGCTTACACCGTACCCTTAATAAGGGAAATGCATTCGCGCATATTAAGTCCAACTTCGTTTTCGCCTACGAAATAAGGCTTCACATGTATGAACGCAAATGCATTTGTATATTTACCGGTTATTTCTTATATATAAATATATATGCATTGTAATATTGTAAAAACATTTGTTACATGTATACACGCTGTAGATTTAAATGGTGTATAAACTGTACGCGCAATGTATGAGAAGAACTAATTTCTGTTGTATTACAACTGGCAGGATGTAGTTTGTTACTATTTCATGTTATGCGTTACAGCAAGAGCATTTGTTTATATACGTCATGTTTTTATCAATGTCAGTTGAAGCACAACATGTAAATGTATAAACGAATATAAAGAAATGAGAGAGCTTTATACTTTTGCATTTTTCCTTCATCTATAATTTATGTCTCACTGAAAAATAATATAACATAGTTTAATTTCATTTGCAACTTGTTTACGTATTTTTCTATATCTGTGCATTACATTTGGTGCATATCGTAAATAAAAATTCGGACCATACAATACGGTCGTGCAGAAAGATGGTATGCTTGTGAATGTATTGCATTAATCAAGTGTATATAAACTATTTAAATTATTAAGATCGAATCTAATCATATACACATTTATCACGCAAAAGAATCGGATTTTGGATTCAAAATTAATTCACGGTTTAACATTTTTCATTCTTTATTATCTTATCAATATATCGGATTAAACAGTTTCATAACTGTTTTTCTTTAAGCCTTAATTTGCGATAGCATTTTACATATTTTTTTCTAATCATCGATTTAATTACAAAATGTGTATATGTTACTTAAATTTAAAAATGAAACAATCTTCATGTATATAATAATTATTAAGAATGGTTACGGCTCTCGATTACGTGCAATGCATTTTACGATTGATTATTTATTAGAAAGATATTGGTATCTCTATCCCAATAAAATTTTACATTTTATATTGTATTTATATCATAATGACACGCATCATGAAATATTAATAAAGTTTAACAATAAAACAGTATTAGTAAAATAATAAAGAGAATATTTTCATCTATGGTATATTATTTTCTCATATTATACAAATTAATTGTATGAGCATATATTATGATTACAAATGTTTAATAACTCCAAATGATTATAAATGTTATAACCAATTCAGGCAATTATATTTAATTTGATGCAAAACACTTCAGCATTGCCACTGAAAAAATTTTCAATCAAATTATTCTCTTTAATTGTAATTAATATTATATTTTAGTTGCATAAATTTGCGTGTTAATATTTCAATGTAGAGCCATATATGTATATATATACATTGCAATTTAAATAAAAGATACACGAGATTATATAAATTCCTCTGATTTCATTAAAACTTATTGCCCTAATATGCATGCTATTTAGCATATATACATCAGACATACATAAAATCTATTATCAAAATTTGGTACAAGGTGTTTGGTATGAATTCTATTCTCATTTGAGAACGAAATATAATAGAATTAAAATTTGATATTACTGAAACATATACAATATCGGCTACAGTAAACCGTATTAAATTTTATCAAATAGATCAAATAAAAAGTTTCCTAAAAACAGATTAATTTTATGCATTTGTTGGAGGACAGATCAAGTGTAAAACTTATATAATACACCCCGTATATATACCTTAAAGTCTACAATGCTGATGCGTTTTTAAAATGATCGTTCTTTCAATTCGCGCGCTGATAAAATTTTATCCACGATTTATTCATGAATAATTACAGGATCGATCAAGTTTATATATATGATTATTATGAATTCACGACAATTTTTTCATTTCGATAATAATCATTTTTGTTATGCAAATATCATACTGAAAAATGATAGTAATTTCTTTCGAGAAAAATTACGTCTCACAATAATACAATAATGCAGAATAAGACATTGTAACTATATAAATAAAAATAAATGTTCCATCTTGTTAATTTGTAATGATATGATGCCAAATTTTTTGATTTTTTTACAAAAAAGAAATAATTACAAATTTCTAGAAATTAGAGTGTATAAAAATAATAAATACACACTGCATGCCAAAGATTACATGTATAGTTCATGCATAATTTTTTAAATAAATATCAGTAATATGTCATTTTCCTATTGCATCATTGTCTTACATACACAAAAAAAATATATCTCCTTATAACAACACATATTTCCTTATCAAGATCAATAATGGCACAAGTAATTATTGAATTTTTATTGGGCTATTTTCAAAAAAGGTATCAATTTTTCAATTATAAAACATATGTGGTTATTTCGCTTAGCAAAATTACAGCTTTGATAGTATCCTGCCTCCTGTATATACTTTTTGTTTGACGACCGGTCTGAAGTATTTTCTACATATACTTTCCACGATACTTCCTAATGATATCTATTCTGCAAATATGATTATGCCTACTTTTGTTAATTTGCGCCTTGAAACGACAAGGCTATTAAAAATAAAAATTATGATTTATCTAATTAAAGCCAGAAGTTGGTATTAATGTTACATTCATTTCAATATGTTTTGCTGTGTACAAAAAAGAAATATTCTTGTAATTGACCAAGATAATGTGTATGTAAAGAAGACATAATTATACATAATAGTACTGGAATCGTAATTGTTACAGCAATCTCAAAAATATTGCAATATTTTTATCGGACGAGACAGAGCGAGTTGTATATCGCAATACTGAAACATCAACGTTACAAAATCACGCTATTTATAATGGAAGTAAGAATGAAGAGCGAGCTCAAATAATCACAAGCATAATTTGATAACATCTCTGATATGCTATGCCTATGATTAATTGTCTAGCGCTTATCGGTTATCACATCCGAAATTCAACTGATAAAGTTAGCCATGTTTTTGGAAAATTTTTTATAAATCTCTTTCTTTCTCTCTCTCTCTCTCTTTCTGTGTACTAAATACTATAGAGATATCATAATCAAAATTCCATATATCGCAGTTCTATATAAAGCGAATAAATATTTACAAAACTCTAGCAACATCGACTTGATTAATTTCCTAAATTGGGTATTCAGCATGTTATATATATATAGTGATTACACATTGACTATGATCGAGAATTATCCTTTTGTTACATACATATACAACTTAATTTTCTCAGAGACAACTCGTGCTATAATTAAAAGTGCATATAAAACTTAACAATTTTTTTCTATAGTATACATCCCTTTACGAGAAGATAAGTTTGAAGTCTAAAACTTTAATAATCGCAATTATATTTAATTAGTTACTTATCATAAGAGAAAGACTTACTATATGACATTAAATTAAGCTAACAGTGTTCCTGAATCACACGCATTTTATCATAATTTCGAATCTAATTTGTTAGCACGAACAATCTCTGTTAGTCTGTTATACTTCAAATTGATTATAGTAGTTGATTTCGCGGACATTTTTTCTAATGTAGAGTAACCTAAGGAAGAATATAAATATATCTTCATACACACGGATGTCATCTTACTGTCTTTTCCATATATATATAATGAGAAATGTTGCACTTTGATTACTATATATAATATGTGTGTCTCTATTTACATATTATTTAGTTATAATGGGGAACATTTTAGTTGATTGTGACAGCTTTCCATTGTACAGTTTGGAACATATAACCATGATAACAATTGTATTGTTCGTGTTTCTACTACAATCATTCGTATCACTATAATTGAACACACTTTTAGATATTCGTTCGATGCATGCTATAGTTAATTGATAATTTTCATTTCACCGCGTCAGATTCCCCTTGTGTATAAAGGATTTAACATATACAATGTAATATAATAAAAACTGGAATGTGTACATGCCATATATTGCCATTGATAACGCGAATGACAAAATGTATATTATGCGTATGTCATACACACATAAAAATTCTTGCATCTTTTTATTTTTATTCGTCATTATTAATGGGGGGGAAAAAGAGAGTCTATAAACTTATGAAATAAAATGCAATATTTTTGGTCATGCCCCTCTGTTTAACAATTATTTTGATCTGTCCTAAATCTAAAAATACGCTTTTGTTTTAATTTACAAAGAATCTCAAGCCATAAAATAAAATTATACAGAATATTAATTCTTTTATAATATATGTACCAATCAATGCAAATATTAAATTAGCATTGATTGATACTTTCAATTCTACTACTTACAAGTATTTCATGGTTGACATGTTTTGACTGTTTTTGATAAAGAAATTAGATTATATCCTTGAAAAATTTACATTTTTACGATAATAATGAAATATGCTTTATACATAAAATTTGATATTTTTATAATTCAAACATAAATGAATCGATTTCATTGCTAAGTATTAACTACTAATAGTAGCACCTCCTTAAGAGATTATATATAATTAGTGGAAATGGACTTCCTTATCATAAAATTTTAAGAGTTTAATATGAAATAATATTTGTTTTCGTTGATTTTTGATAAAAAAGTGTCGAGTTATTGTTACGAAATATTGGGAGGAACAACAGTCACAATCATTCGGACTTACATTTTATAATAGATTTCGCGTGACACATATAAAACAAAAATACATGAAAAAAATAATAAATGAAGAAAACAAAACATGTATATTTTGATGTAGTACAATATTGGGATGTGTACTGGATGAAATTCTTTCTAAATAGAATATGTGATATACGATATAAATCTATTGGAGTGATGCGACATGAATCTTGAGTTTATTTAAAATGTTTATGAATGAAGGAATAATTATGATATTGTTACTTTAAATGTTCACTCACAATTTTCACAAAAAAACAATAGTAATTGATATATAAAAAAAGACTGATAAAACGCTAATAATTTATATAACATATTATAAAAGAATATTTATAATACACCAGGAATAAAGATAAATTATTATAATTATCAATATAAAAATATATAGAGCGCTCAATTAGTAGATAATATCAATGTTTTATGTTAAATCGTGTTTGTATCGCGATTTATATACCTCGCGATTATTCTCTTCTCATTACTTATAATATCCAACATAGAAATACTTTTAAATCCACCGGTTTAATGCTGCATGAATAAAAATATAAAAGTAGAAAACAAGTCATAAAAGATATTAAATAATAACTAATCATATATAATTGAAATTAAGTTCACTCGGTAATGATCTAAAAGATATTTAAATTAATAACATTTTCTCATAACTAAGAAAATATTTCAGCAAAAATATTCAAATATTCTTTTTAAGAATTTATAATAGATATATAATATATTAATATATCTCTCTCTCGTAAATAATTTTTACATTTTCTATTAATTTTATGTAAATAAAAACTATATATTTAGAATAGTTAAAAAATCA